CTTCATAAACACGAAGTGCCCCAATGAACAGTTTCTTCTTATTTGGTGGCTGTCCGGTTTTGATTGAGCGGTGGTAGTGTGCTGAACGGCGCTTTTCAAATGTTGCAATTAGGGCGTGGTCGGAGGTACGGATGAGCTATGTAGAAATAATTACCATAATCATACGACAGCAACATACCATGGGTCACAATAGCGGCATAATGTAGCTACGTTACCTCTAGTCGGCTTCTGTGAATACGTACCTTCAAGCAATGAGACCAACCCTTGACTCCTTTCATGAAGCCCGTGGCAAATCTCCGTGTACCGGACCATCTATACCGTGTCCCTTCGATCTCAAACTCGACCTTCCGCGATAATCCCGACCGATGCATACGCACCAATATCACCTTCCCAGACACCGGCTCCTCATCCTTCAGCGGCTCCTTTGGCGGCTTTGATCCTCGACAAAAGAACTTGCGCAATTTCTCCTTACGTGCATAGCTCTTTGCTTTTCTGCGTCGGTCCTTGTTCTTGAGAATTTCGCTGACACCGTCCCCTAGCCAAACTTTGAAGGAGGTCCACATGGCAGTACGCCTGGCACGTCCGATGACGGTCGTCTCAGGGGTATATTTGGGGTTGTCCCCCCTGCAGAAGACCGGGACCCATTGGCTGGCATGTTTGTGAGGGACTTTGTTGACCACAAAATACTGGGCAGGTTCCGTATCTGAAGGGGCGAGCAGAGCCTTGTGGCCAGGGTACAGGCGGGTATACAGTTGGAGATATTTAGTTGGGGACTTGCTAGGTGGGACCTCCGAATTGTGTTCAGAGGGCCTTTTCGTAGGTTTTATCTCAAACATTGTGAGAATTTATACTGCGATTGGTTGTTGCCCATAGTAATGTTCGAAAATGAAGTGGTTCCATATCAGGATGAGAGGTCTGTGAATAATGGGCCACAGCGATGCCATCACTCTTTATAAATGTTCTGTCAACAAGGACGCCGCTCATGATGCTTCTTGAGGTTTGTTCATTGTTGGCGTATGATCTTCGTCGCAATACGAGCCTTCTCCTTGACAGGTTTAGCGTTGGCGTTGGAGGATGCCTCAGCTCTGTGACTTCTCCAATGAAGTGCCGCGCGTTGTGCCTAAGCGCAGATCATTGAGGTCAAGAGCCATTTTTATGCCTCTTCAACACTCGAAAAAATAAGAGCACAAGTTGAAACTGATGGTGATTGGTTTTGCGGTTAGTTTAAGCTTAACTTAAGCAAGTTAGTGATCCCCACTTGGAGCCTCTACATGCAAATCGACAACCACCAAAACCCACCCCCCATACTGTATATCCGAGCGGGATTCGTTTGATAGCAGGCATAGCCTTGTACTTATTTCTGTGGTGGAACATTCAAGTTTGTTTGGGGAAGATGTGGTGGAAGAAGTTTCCTCCTCGAAGAATTCATTGAGACTCCCAAGCAAGTTATTCTTGGGGCTCGGCCATTTGTCGGTCTGTTGCGCAAAGTTCCAGTGTAACTCAATGGGAGCTCCCAGCATCCTGTTGAGAGGCGGAAATATTTCCAGATGGTGTTCAACTATCCGCATTAAGGAGTGAACTATTAGCATAATCATAAAGTACATTATATATAGCATATATTGACGCACTTTCTTCTTTACTCTAGGACACTTAGGCAAAAGAGCTCGGTCACCAGTCTTCGCTGGTGGTTAAAGGCGGAACAGTACCACTTATGCCAACATTTACGATGTTGTCATTGGGAAATTTATATAATATTTTCAAGCTTACCTTATGTGGTATTTTTTTGCGGGTTCTAGTTGGATATGGTTGGTTGGAAAAAAGGTGAGCATGATTGAAAAAAAAAAAAAAAATTCTAATTTTCTAGCCATAATCAATCTATCAATCTCATCTAAAATACATACACACTATCATAGTGTCTCATTATCTCAAAACAATTCATATATTGAAGATAAGAATTATAGAGTAGCTACTCTCTGGAATGATTAACTGAAAAATATTTCTATTTTCAAATATAACCAGTATTGTGTTGTATGAAGAAATCAGTCTATTGTTTTAGTGCTTGTGTAAGTTATTTTAGGGCAATCTTGCCAAGACATTTTTGCATAATCTCCAGGGTCGTCATTTTCTCTGGCAACAGAACAGACAAATGATGTCGATTGTTATCGGAGCAATTGCAAAACTATGTCACGGACTCTTCCATCCCTGCGCCAATGGGCCCGATATGCGACCAATTATCCAGTTAGCTGCAGCGGTAGGGGTTGTCTTTTAAGAAGCTCATTCAATAAACTGGCAGCGCGACGATTCTACGCTTCAGTGTCCGCGGCAGAGCTCCGCTTCGGACAACCTCTTCACGAAACACATCCACATATCCTAAAAGCTGGGGAATGTATGTGGAGCCCTTATTATAATGCAAAGACATTTGAAGACCCTCGAAATTGACAATTGGCATATTGTTCTTGTTCCAGTGACGCCCGGTATTACCGCCCTCGAATATGCCCATCGCCGCTCCAAGCTTGCGTCAAAGCTACCCAAGAACGCAATTGCGGTCGTCGCCGCTTCGGACATAAAATATAGATCAGGGAGCGTTTTCTACGAGTACCACCAAGATCCGGATTTCTTCTATCTTACCGGTGCGAAAAATTGTTCCACTCTGTTCTCTGGCGACTTTTGCTTATCGAGTGGACTAGGTTTTAATGAGCCCGGCGCATTAGCTATTATTGGTGAGTTTCTAAGCCGTTTAAAAGAATGGTTAGGATTGTTCTGATATATACTAGGAAATGACGGTTCGGATAATGATCATGTCTTCCACCTCTACGTTCGCGAGAAAGACCCAAAAGCGGAGCTATGGGAAGGGGCCCGGTCGGGAGTCCAGGCCGCGATTGACGTTTTTAATGCTGATATAGTAAAATACACGATGCATCTGCTTCCTTGGGATTGTGCTAACCTCTTGTTTTTCTATAGAGCGGCAGCATTGACGATGTCAGCACATCTCCTCCATCGATCCTTTCAGATGCTTCCACAATATATACAGACCTCAGGCTTACCGACCCGTCGCGATCGTCTTTATCTCGTTTCTTTTTTTTGCTCAAGCAGAAAAACGGTGTATTAGAGAAAATTATGGCTTCACACAAAATGAGGGCATTGCGCCCAGTTCTCAACGAATTACGGATCTATAAAAGTGAAGGGGAGATACAAAATATGCGAAAGGCGGGACAAGCTTCAGGCCGGGCTTTTACAGAGGCTATGAGAAATGGATTTACGAAGGAGAAGGATATCCATGCGTTTTTAGAGTACCAATTCAAAATGAATGGCTGTGATGGCCCGGCTTTTGTGCCTGTTGTTGCTGGTGGCCAGGTAAAATTTTTCTTCCTATAATTTTTGTATTGTTTTTGCGAGCTAATATTTGTTTTTTAGAATGCGCTAAGCATCCACTACGTCAGAAACGACGATGTACTCAGGTATGACGGTAACACGGCCAATTTAACTGGATGTGACACTTATCCGTAACTGGCGTAGAAACGAAGACATGGTCCTTGTTGATGGCGGTGGTGTATGGGCCCCATTTTATCCTTTTTTAAAGATGTTTCCGAGTTTACTAACTGTGATCAAGGAATATGGAGGCTATATATCTGACATTACGCGCACCTGGCCAGTTAATGGCAAATTTTCAGAGCCACAGAAGGAATTGTACAATGCCATTCTGAGCGTGCAGCGTACATGTGTATCGCTATGTCGTGAATCTGCTGGCCTCTCGCTTGATATGCTACACGGCATTGCGGAAAAGGGCTTACGAGAACAACTCAAGGCGCTTGGCTTTGATGTGTCTGGAAGCGTGAGTTCTTCCCAGCCTTCAATTTAAGATCAACTTCAACCACTGCTAACTGCCACTTCTTCGTAGGCCATGGCAACTTTGTTCCCTCACCATCTGGGACATTACATTGGATTGGATGTGCATGACTGCGTGGGATATTCAAGAAATCTCGAACTTGAGGCGGGGCAATGTATAACAATTGAGCCGTAAGCTATTCTATAACATAATTTCGCGAGGATGCTAAACTAACAAGTCATAGTGGTATTTACGTCCCAGACGACGAGCGGTGGCCGAAACATTTTCGAGGAATCGGAATACGAATTGAGGATAGTGTTTGCATTGGAGAAGAGAACCCGCTTATTCTGACTACAGAAGCGGTGAAAGAGGTAGGAGGATGAGAGTGGAAATTCCTTCTCTTTTGGATTCTTTGCTAACTTGAGTAAAAGATCGATGACATTGAAGCTCTGCGATAGGCACAACTGTTTCTGTCCATGAGGTGATATTTGTCTACTGTACAATAAAACAGGTGTAAATTTTGTATTCCTTGATCTATTGTAGTTTGTTTTCAAGTGTTTAGGCCGGTGTCGGTCATGGAAGAACAACAACTTTGTAAAATATATCAAATTCACACTTCATAATCTCATATGAGATATAGTTCAGAATTGCTTTATTTTATTACCGTCTCCGAAAGCTGCATGTCAACTGCACGAACCCCTTAACGACGAAGTTGGCTGGCGGTAAACAGCGCTAGTAGGGTTAGGGTTTGCCCCCATCAACAGGCGCGCTTCTATTGGCTGGCGGACAGCGCGGGTTTTGACAAGCAAAACAACCTCAACCCGGACTCTCCTCCAAACAAACAAGCTCCAAACCTCAGCTGTGTGAACGGGGACTTGACAGGATTACTCATTTAACTCCTCTGCGGGTCCCCAAGGGATTCTTCTATTTTTTTTTAATCAATTATCTGTATCCTATTGATGTTAATTGCCAATTACCTCATTTCTTGTCTTGTCATGACCGCGTCGTGAGCTCGGGCTGCCTCATAACACGACGTGCGGTACCTCCCGTGCTCAACTTTGGGCCAAAAGATACCCCTCCTTCCCACCCTCCTTCTCTCACTCACGGGCAGGATATCACTTACATATACATGGCAGCTGTATTTATACCACCTTCACCTCAACCATCGATCGCAATGTCGAGCCGTCGGGTTCCCCTGGTCAACATCCCCAATGGCACTAACTCGCCGCATCGAGGTGCTATTACCTCAGGGAAGCGAAACCTTCCTGGAAATTATCAGACAGAGATGCTCTTTATGCAACCTCCCCCGAAGAAGCAGATGCTGGAGAAAAATGAGGGTGACCTGAACAACAAATCTCCACGAAAGTTGGCGGTGACCAGTACGGAAGGGAAGGTGTTTACGCGCAAGAATACCAATTCCCAACCAACAGCGTTCGAAAGGAAGCTTGTTGCGGCGAGGGAGAAGGACAGGGCACATAATTCGCGAGGAACCAGATATGATAGGACTGGGGGGGAAACTTTGGATAGTATTCGTCAGTGGCAGAAACACTATCGTAAGGCGTTTCCCCAGTTTGTATTTTACTTTGAGAGTATCCCGGAAGATGTTAGGAACAAGTGCTCGAGGCAGATTATGGCTCTTGGTGCTGTAAGTTATTTTTCTCTTTTTTCTTCTCCGTGTTGGTTTGTTCAGGCATATCAAATTTGGTATTTGTTGGATGTGGTCGCTTACGTTCTTTACAGACGGAGGAGAAGTTCTTTTCCAAGGTAGTGACACATGTTGTCACTGCTCGTCCAATCCCTCGTGGAATGGACTCCCCGAATCACACAGAGATATCTACCAATGCTCCTCTGGGCCAACAAAATGCCGATGGATCTGTCCAAACTGTTGACCCGTCACTTCTGGAGAAGAATTACGAGAGCAGCCATGTCAGCCAGGGAGTGGGAAGACCCAGGAAAATATCCGACAAGCGGCCAGGGCAGGAGGGTGATACGAGACGAGATAATAAGGATGTCCTATATCGGGCAAGGCAAATGAATATGAAGATCTGGGCCCTTGAGAAATTACAGCGCGTGATATCTACGATGAATGATGGTGAAAATATCGCTCACCATGGTCATTATACACGTAGTAATGGCACAGTATCCGGTGCTGGAAGGGGGAGGGCAGAAACGGATCTGTCCCAGGTCCTTCGAAACGAACGCTTGCATGGACCTACAGATCGAGACTCTATCTTGGCGTCGAAAGAAATTATTCCCTTCAAAGGCCCATTTATATATATCCATGATTACGAAGAGAAGACTCGACCAGTTATGGTCCGTGAGTACCCGAAGGTTGCCAGGCGACAGGATGGAGCATGGCCGCAGTTTCGGAGCGCTGCGCTGGGGAAATGCCCTTTTATCGATGAACCGCTAACGAAAAAAGAATTGGAGAAGCGGAAAGCTACCGCTAATCAGACGAAAGATAAGTGGCCTGCTACGAAGGAGAAATCTACGGCGACTACGGAAATAAAGACAATGCAACCCCCAGAGCGCTCTGTTGAGAAACGAGCCTTGCAAGACGCGCAGGAAGGTGTGAATCAAACAATTACACGAGAAGCACCTGTTCCAGCCCCCAAGCGGGTTGAGACTCTTTTAATGCTGCCAGCAAAACCCGCCTCTCCTCGTACCAAAGGATTTGAGACATTCCCTGATGCAAAAGCTTCTCTCGCCACCTATCTAGCGCGGGAACCGGCGGCATCTGGAGTCCAGCCATCAAACATCACGTCAGCAATCAGATCGCAGATGGTATCATCTACCGCAGCAGCCCCAGGAGCGAAAGCAGGAACGAGTAAAGAGGTGCACGGATTGAAGAGGAAGGTTCTTGAGAAGGGACACAGTACCTTATCGGCGAATGGAAGCGGGATTCCCTCTTCGCATAGAATGACGGACATTTCTGGTGCTCTTAAAGCTTCCAGGGCCCCAGTGACAAGAGCAGCGAAGAGTAAGGCGACCGGCAACCTCGATCAGATCGATGAAGACGGCACCACCCAGTCGGAAGGTGAGAAGGTACAGAAGCCCCAGCAGGCCAGCAGGAAGAGTAATACGGCGCGATCCAGGCAGAAGAAGCGTGATCCCAAGCCAGGATACTGTGAGAATTGTCGTGACAAGTTCGAGGATTTTGAGGAGGTAAGCTACAAGCATAAGATCGCTTTTTCTCCCCTTATCGTTACCGTTGTTAGCTGACTCCCGTGGTCACACAGCATGTATTGACGAGAAAGCATCGCAAGTTTGCGTTGACCTCTTCCAACTGGATCGAACTGGATGAACTGCTCAGGTCTCTTGAACGTCCGCTCAAGCATCAGGATGTGGATAATTGGTGAAACCCCTCAGTTGCAAATACAAGATTACATTCATTCCGGGGGCTTTTTCTAATTCTTTCAAAGAAATCTTTTGTGTTTATTAGAGGGAGCTAGCTCATTTAACGTTTTCTCAAGCTTGATTTGTTGTTTCTTCGTTCGCTTCGTATTTTCGCTCTTCTGATTATTATTCCTTGACTACTTCAGAACACGGGGAAGGCAAATATAGTATCTTCATTTAAATGCTTTATTTCTCTCTTCTCCGGTTTGCTTTTCTGTCCTCTTTCTTGGGAATATGCATATAATACCGGCACCCGACTCTTTAATTTCTTCTCTACTCTCCTCAATTTCTGCGGCTGTTATTCCTGTGCTGACCCAGGCTCAATATTTTCGGCAGCCAAACAACACAAACCATTGCCGACCCTTTGTTGAGTTCGGCCCGACCGAGCTTGGTAAAGGTAAGGACATGTCCGCAGCTATCTTACAGCCGTGATTCACTAGCTGTGTATGTATGCATAGATATTAGTTCCTCACATACGTCACTTGACGGGTTTTAAAGGCGTCACTCGATTTGTTGCTTGGGTTGTTTGGCCGTGCTGCAAGAGAGAGATTTAAGCCGGTGATAGGGGTCATACACAGCGGTTGAATACAATTTCAACTTCGAAGTGGAACAACTCGTGATGACAGCGTAATCTTGGAATAGGTTTCTCGTAGTGTGATGATGTTGGCGTTAGACACTTGGCAACCATATTTTTTGATATGAGGCAGGGTTGGCCAATTTGTCAGCTGCAACCGGAACCCAGAACTCCGGGCTGATCCCTCCCTATTTACATGCTTCAAACCCCTCAAAGGAACGGAGGAACCGCCAGCATGCGTATGGGGCTGAAATCCTTTATCGTTTCTTGAGGAAATAAAAATTAAATTGAAAATGAAAGACGCGGGTGGCTTCGAATGTGTAAAGTGCAAGTTCAGGTTTACTCAGAGTGAACAACTTCCGCCCAATTTCAGAACTCCTTGGTTGTATATAGACTGACCGATCTATAGAATCTTCTCTTGTTCGACATACCAAGAAATGTGTCGATGGCCGGCCTCCAGTTGTCCGACAAAAGGCTTGTCGTGAGTGCTCGGCAGCAAAGACGCGGTGTGATTTAAAGCGTCCGACCTGTTCTCGATGTACTCTCCGAAACACCATCTGCATGTATCCCACCTACCCTGCAGGCCCGGAAATCGGTGTTGAAAGCCATGGATTTCCCCAAAAGGACAGTCAAAAATCTACCAGTCCACTGCAAGGCCATGTCCGTTTCGGACCTGATCCACTGTGTGGTGGCTTTAACCCGGAGGTTGAACTCCCTACTCCTGAAAGCGAGACATTAGATTTCCATTCCATACTACCTCCAGACCTTGGAGTGCTTGAGAATGAATTATCAGCTGTGTTCGACGGCTATACCGATGTTGATAGCCTGAACTACAATTATGCCTTGGTTAGAAATATACCCGACTCAAGTAGCGGCGAAGGTGTTCAAATAGCACCCTCAACTCCGCCACCCGCTTATGCTCTGGGATTGACTCGTCACACCATGCAAACGTTATTTCGAATAGCTCAAACCTGGCCTCGAATGATGGCCAAAGGTACTCAGTTGCCCCCTATCATACACCCCAAACAAGTTTCGGACGGAATTATCCCGGAACCTCTAACGAACTGTTTCGCCCTCGTAAAAATGTGGCATGGACAGCCTCACGGAGGAGCCAGCATTGTTCAACAAACAGTGAGGAGAGAAATGCAAACAATTGCAAACTCGGTATGCTACTAGGCGAAAGTATTTTCATTTGAGTTGAGGATTAGGGCTGATAGATTCGTAGTTTCAAACGCTCGACGAGACCGAGCTCGTCGCAGCTCTGCAAGCGCTGACGATATATACCCTTATGCTCTTATTTCCTTCTAATGACCAACAGACCATCCCACTACTTGAGGATAAGCTCGTAAGGCAGCTGAGGAGTATAATTCAGCACGTTGTGTCAACGGGCGTGGTACTCCAGGAGGAGATCGAACGTACTCGGCCCTTTTGGGAGTGCTGGATAGCCGTTACTTGCAAACGACGAGCGGCACTAAGTTTGTACACTATATACTGGGGTTATAGTGTGTATCACTGCATACCAGCCTTTGATTGTAGCGAACTACACCATATGCCCGCGCCGGCTCCCAAGTACCTATGGCAAGCCACGACAAACGAGCAGTGGGAGTCATTATACAACCGATGGTTAGCCCACTGGGATGGGCCGTATTATCGCCATGGGGAAATATTCGAAATCAATACTGGGATCCGGATGGATCCACGGGCCGAGCTCTGGTTTGAAGAAGTCGATGAGTTTGGCATGATATTTGCAGCTGCTAGTAGGTAGACCGGATTTCTTAACACTCGAAGAGAAAGGGAAGAGAGACAATAGAGAGATTTAACGAGCAACCGAATCCAAATACTTATTGAATGCTCTCGTATTTTAGTCAATGCCCTTGAACGAGAGCCAGAGCTTACAGTCATGGAAACCGCCGCTTAAGTTTACCAACTTAAGATCAGGACAGCCGAACTGAAAATGAACGATTCATTTATTGTCACACATCATGGGAATGGTAGGGTATTTAGAGATCAGCATTGATGGCATCACAGCTTTTCAAGTTGTGGCACTGAACAGCCGCTCTTCCCTCGAACGACAAATGCACACTCTTTTCGAAGGGAAATGCCAGAAATATTACTTTGCCTCCTGACCCACAACTGTCGACTATATCTCACGGGTTCTGAATACATAGTTTCAATCGAGTGCTTCATTGTTAAAATATATTGCAAAATCCTTTTAGTACCATTCTTCTTTGTTAAAGGGAAGCAAATATCTCGGCGCAATAACTTCCCTCCTTCCTCCACTTCCTTTTCTTTTCCTTTTCCTTTGAGATTTTACTTTTATTTATATGTCTTATTTATTCTATTTTTGGCATTGTTTTTTTACTTTGGCGAGGAGGGGATGTGATGTGATCACAGGCGTTGTCACAACAGGAGTGCATGGAACTTGTTTGATAGGAGGCCTTCATATTTAGCGGCCTGGTTTGTAACGAGATCTACATGCATGACTTGCTGGAGCAATCCGCTTTCCTCTTCGGGAAGCCGATAATTCTAGTCATAACAATATTTCCCTACTCGGCAAGTTTTCCAAAATATAGGGGGTAAAAATGGTAGAGAAACCTATGCTCACATCTGAACGCTGTCACCATCGAAACATAGGATGAGATGTGGATCATGTTCTAGACGAATGTAAGCAAGGTGGGGACGGGAGAGATACAAAGAAGGGAAGGAAAATAAAATCCATGAAATTGGTTTGATGTGAATGACCATTGGCCATCCTCGACAAATTAACATACGCTCCATGAATTTGTAGAGCGTCGAAGGATACTTTCACCCGCAGGTGCCCACGGCAGAACTGGGCCAACTATTAGGATTTATTTATCCTCATGTACAACAAAGAGTACAGCCCCAACCACAATATCAAGCCCCAGGATTAGGTGGTTGACCCCTTTCAATGGCTCTGAAAATAGACAGTTAGAATTCCATTGAGAAAACACCTATCCACTGAGCAGCACATCTGAGGTCCGCGTGTAGTCAGGGGATCCTATAACAAAAAGAACAACTGAGCTTCTCCAAATGAGATCTGCTAGCTGCGGTTCTAATTTTCCCGAGATAATAATCTTGGGCTAGTTACCAAGGTACAGTACAACATATCATTGTTTCCTCACGAAATAAAGAAATAAGCTGTAGCTGGGTGAAGAGTCAAGGCTTTGTAAATCTCCGGCCCCTCGTTATGTAGCGGAACAATTGAATTGGAAAATATATTGTCATGTAGTCTAGCCCAAGAACAGACGGTAGCTTAACGGGTAATGAAGATATGACTATTCCAAGACAACGTCATTGCGAATATTTTCCGCGGACATGGGCATAGGTTTCCGCCTCGATTTATTATCCTGAAGCAATATCAATCGAATATATTATTGCCGTGGCTGCAGAGAGAAAACAACGAGGAGCTCAAACCGCTGGGTGCAAGATCTTTCCTTTTTGCATACTTATGCCGTAAGATGTTGTCGATAATTCCAGCCCTGAAGCTGTCCAATAGTTTTGGCCCTGCTACAGTACCGAAGCCAAAGAAAGTTTCGCTGGTGATACTACAGCGGCCTGTGCGGGCCGATCTCTCAACCAGGATAATTTGACCGACCGAAAGTAGCACGGGGTGAATGGCGCCCGGTCCCTCCCTTACCCAGGAGGGAGGGAGCTCCATTTCAAAATTTTGCAATCAATTTGGATGTTACTTTTGCAGACTGATCGCGTTATCGTCATGTACATGTACATACATACATCACAGTAATTTCGCGTGATCAAGGGCATAGATGCGGCGGAGAGGGTCGAATGCAGAATGCCATGATCATTATCGGCAGAGCAGCAGGCCTAGCAACGCAACTTTCATCCAGGACGACATAGAATGTGCGTACTAATATGTCGGTCGCACGCTGAATTCTAGGTGGGAAGCTTAGCTTCTGAGCAGAGGGCATGTCATGTAGTTAGGCTGTTTGGTCGAATTATTGGCCGAAACTGGGTACCGATGTGGTACGAAGTGCAGTGGTGGCCCATGCTCAAATGACATGCATTCCGGTCGGCGTAGGGTAATTTGAAAGACACAAAGTCCTGTAACTACAGTGCTCTATCCTGTAGATATCACTGGGAACCAATGAATACATCGTGCATGGTCTGCATTGTTGAGTTGAAGTCCTGAAGTCTTAAAAAAATGGCGGAGTGCCAAGGAAAGTGCCAAGGCTGGGCAATAGATAACGTAAGCGGACCCAACGACCGCTTGCTGAATCATCCATGCATGACCGGGTTACCTCGGTTCGCCCGACGGAACGGATAAACAAGAAAAAGGCAATTAGTAGAACTAGTTCGAATGAATTTCTCCAGAGATTCTCCTGTCTACGCTGCATAAACCAGCACGTATCAAACTGTATATATACCAACAGTTGCGGTTGTCAGCTATTCGAGAAACATGATTTTTAAATTCCCTAAGCATTTGCTGCGGTATCTACCAAATCTTGTTCCGTGCCTGTTGTCCCAAAATCCCGACTGAATCGGCCAGCTCTCCCCTCTTCCCCCGCCACCATGGCCCTCCAGTCTTCCATTGGGCTCGTCAGGTTGACAGCCCCTCCTGTTGCTCTGTCTCGATTTCGCTGCTCACCCGTTGTATTCCTGCCCGCTATTACGAAGTCGACTCTATGGCCCTGCCAAGTCCGTCATAGCTCCCATTCCCCAATGGGCAAACCCATCACTCGCAAGAAAATCACTATCAAATCATTGCAAGCGTTGCACAAGAAGAAGGAACCTATCACTATGTTAACGGCACATGACTTCCCAAGTGGGCATGTCGCAGAAGCAGCTGGTATGGATATGGTCCTCGTGGGCGACAGTTTAGCAATGGTTGCCCTTGGCATGGACGACACTAGTGAGGTGTGCCTGGACGAAATGATACTCCATTGCCGGAGTGTATCCCGTGCGGTTGGATCTGCCTTCACTGTAGGTTGCTATACGTTTTATGCCTCGTTTACATGCGTTACTCCCATGGCAATGGCTAATTGGTCCCTTGAATTAGGTTGGCGACTTGCCCATGGGTTCGTATGAGATATCTCCAGAGCAGGGTGTTGCGTCCGCCATTCGCCTCATTAAAGAAGGACGAGTCCAAAGTGTCAAACTAGAAGGGGGTGAGGAGATGGTGCCAACTATCAAGGCAATCACCACGGCCGGGATACCAGTTGTGGCCCATGTTGGTCTAACCCCTCAACGCCAACATGCGCTAGGAGGTTTTCGTGTCCAGGGTAAATCAACTGCCGGTGCCCTGAGGGTCTTAAACGACGCTCTTGCAGTTCAAGAGGCTGGCGCATTTATGGTTGTTCTTGAAGCTGTCCCGTCAGAGATTGCACGTATCATCACCGACAGACTGAAAATTCCAACCATCGGAATCGGCGCTGGTGCTGGATGTTCGGGCCAAGTGTTGGTCCAAGTCGACATGACCGGCAACTTCCCGCCTGGTCGGTATCTCCCGAAGTTTGTGAAGAAGTACGGCGATGTATGGGGGGAAAGCTTGAGGGCGATTGAGAAATATAGAGACGAGGTCAAAAGTGGTGAATATCCTTCCCTAGAATACACATACCCTATATCGAAGGAGGATGTTGAGGAGTTTGAAAAACTAGCGAATAGAAATTAAGATACCTTTGCATTTCTCAATGGATATATACATATATATGTTGATTTTGTGTTGCACCGATTACCCCGACTGGTTTTGTCGAGCGCTGATTTTACGGGTGTGTTTGCACTCGATTTTTGTTATGGCGGACATCACGTCCCGTCTTTCGTCCCGTCTTTCGCCCCGTCTCGGTGTCAAGAGTTATCAGGGAATAAATTAGTTAGTGATTTTAAGTGATTCCTTGAATCCCTCTCGCTATTGAGGTATAGCGGGTAGTTTTGGGGCTGCAACTCGGCATCAATCGCTGGGCAGCAGCGATTTAAAGCCAAGGCGATATCTCATTATCCAAAAGCTGGCGTCATCGAATACGCCACAATAAGTTGGTCGTCCGTCTTGAAGCACTAAATGAATCAACCATCATTAGAAATTTACCTCCTCGGGCTCATTAAATCCTTTATAACTCGCAACAGAGACACCACATCATATTGAAAATCATGGAAAACCTACCCTCCAAAGGCCCCCTACTCCTTCATCGAGCCCGGGAGCGAAGACACTATTTACGTAGCAAAACACGGAGTCGGTATCTTTACAATCAAGTTTCTTGCGCAAGAATTTGACCACAGTCTCAAACTTCTGGGAAGCACTGATTTTGAATACACGATTTCTCAGAATCGGTGCGGATGGGAGAGGCTGGAAACGGACAGTTACTAAGATCAAAAAATAAATGTAAGATAAGGGTCAGCTTTCAGTGCTCCTCTCGGGTGATGTTGGGGATAGCATACAGATGCGGAGGGAGCAACGTGTAAAGCGGTTTGGGTTATCCGCACATCATCCTTCAGACAATGAAAGACAGTTAAACAATAACAAGATCTGGCAAAAGAAGCTTCTTCTTTTCAATGAAGCAGCATAGACATAGCAAGAAGGAACGGGATAGAGCTCCGGATTTTTAAATTAAAAACTCAAGAGAAGGCAGGGCCAAGGGGCAGGAAGAGGATCCATACGCCTGAGAACGTTGCCTGCGGTAGTGAACTTTGATAAAAAACGTTCTATAAGGTGTCGAAAGGCGACCAAAAACGGATATTTTAATTAAATATCCATTTCAGGCCGCCAAAACGAGAGTGAAAATGTCTCATACTAAGTAATAATGCGTACCTTTGCCTGAATCAATGGCATCGACATCAGCCAGCGCTTGATGGGAGTCCTTCGGAAGGCCAGTAAGCACGATGGACGCTGACATCGTCAATGGAAGATCGGCACTGTAGTCTTCATCTGGAATTGGCGTGGTTGCTGCTCCTTTGCTGCCATTATCATTGTTATTTCGTGAGGACCGGCTGCCTTGTCTGCTTGCCAACCCAAGGCCGCGGTTTGCGACCCGTGGAGAGGCGGGCTTGGACGGATCAGGTGATGGAGAGAGAGGTGGTGTTGATGCCATAGTTGATTTGTTTATATTATATCTGGAGCTGGTTTGTATAGTTAAGCCACAGTTATTGATGCCGTTGCTGTGTCTGGAGTGTGGGATGTGGGGATATATGAGAGGCGTTGGTGTTGGATGTGAAGGAAAGGGTTTTTGGTTTAAATATTTAAATAAATATTTGATGTTCGTTCGTTGAGTCCTACAAACCTTCTCCATGCACCATCCCATCCAACAACATCCATGACATTATATTCAAACAGCTAGTCCAGCTCCAGAATCGTTTATCTTTCGTGTCACACTAATAATATCATGGATAGCAACAGAGGGCGCGCGGGATACATCGGTTCGGCCAATTCTAGGTCGAAAAAACTTTCTCGTGGCAACTGACAACTGATGCTTCTTGGGAGATTATTTCAATCACTGGACACGCCTCCTGAAAGCTATTTCATGACTGAAAAATGTAGCTATTTACTTTATTAGTTGAAAGTTGCACAATTAGAGACTGCCAGAGCGGACTCAAGGATGGCATGAGCATTGAGCTCCTCACGGAATCCTGCCTGGTGTTCGTTCCTACAGCCAACGAGCCGAACCAGTAGAAAATTGCAGGCCCATTTACCCAGCAGTTTCTTGTTCAGAGGTGCCTAGATTCCCTAAGGTGATAGCGTCCTGGTCGTGGCAGACATCAAAGAACTGAAACGTATTGTGCAAGTGATACGAACGACGGACAGATAAGATCGTGAGTAGCTCCTAATTTCCTTTGAATGTTGCGGTTGAATTTCGAATTATATTACCATTGCAGTAGGAATAATATGCTCATATGCTCACTAGGTACCGGCCAAGATGATTACTTGTTCATCAAAGCTAGAGTTCATTGGCTTTTGAGCTTGGGTGACACGTTCAACGCGCTGCTCAGTCTGATCCTTGGGGGAGATATTTTATACAGGAAAGTTTGACTGGCCTGCTGTGCTAGTACTATTATCCGGACATGTCACCAGCTATCACAAGGTGCATATGCTATGGTGTCAGAGAGTAATAGAGAAGAAGCTTGATTCTGGGACTGGAACTAAATACGGGGTCCCATTGATTGTATGTACATGTACATGTACATGTACAGTACATGCTGAAGATAGTGATCCCATATAGTTTCAGTGAGACTACTACCTAGTCATGATCACATTCATCAAATGAGACCAGTATTCATAATAGTCTAATAATAATATTCAAATTTTATTTTTATTTTTTTATTTTATTTTATTTTATTTTTTTATTTTATTTTTATTTTTTAAAAAATTGTTTTAGATGACTTCAAATATTATTTGAGTGTTAGTTATCATTAGTTACGTTTTCAAGTTTTAAAAATAGTACTTAAATAAGCGTGAAAATTTCCAAAAATAGTAATTTATTGTGACCTAAAACCTCATCATGAGCCAGCCTGCACAACTAGATATAGTGAACAAGAGATTCAAGATTATGAGATGACTCTACTCAGATAAGAAACATGCAGGTAATGGAAATAGCCAGAACCTCATGGTTACTGACATATGGAGCTCAAGAGGACATTTCCTCTCTAGAGGCTACTTGCTGTCAATATATTTAAGGCCTCACGGATTCAATCGAAAGATCGAGATGGTTAGGAGAGACGAGTCTTATAACTAATTAACTAGTTACTTTAGGATCGGAAGCAAGTTCGGAACATCATTAGACACACTTTTCCTATTAAGATTACAGCTGCATCTTACATGATTAATAATTAAAGCGAGAAGTCATATATGCCCCTGACAGGCCACGATATTTCCCACAACCGCCACCAAATACCTATGCATCCGTCCATGGTGATGACTCTAACCAGACTTTAAGATTTAAAGGACGGCCATGAGAGCACCGAATAAAGCACAGCCGATCCCCACAAAGATCTGCAGCCGACCCTGGCCACTGGCGCTACTGGGTGCTTCAGGGTTGTTAGGGTCCGTCGTGCTTGTGCCAGTACTTGTGCCAGTACTTGTACCAGTATTTGTACCATTGGGGGTGCCGTTCGTTCGATCGCCTCCATTGTTCGGATCGGTACCTTTTGGTGGTGTTGGTTCCGTGCTCCTTGATGGCCCGGTACCGCATGCAGCGTCTGGAGACCCTGCAGAATTTCAGGGTGAAATTAGCATGTTTGTACTGTTCAAAGGTTAATAGGGCGAAATTCATATCTTCTAGACATGCAAGGCACAATATACGGCTAACCGAACCGAGGATCCTTTCCCTGCAATACCAAAGGACTCGACGGGATCATAAATCAGAGGAGCATTAAGGCATTGATATGGTACCACCTCCCGTGCCTATGCTTGTGGTTATCAATACGTACCTTTCGAGCCACAACTCCTCTGTGAGGACGTCGCAGTTGTGGAAACGAAAGTGGAGGCGGTAGTGGCAGGCGAAGGCTTTGTTCCGTCATTTCGGTCATGGCCGTTCACCTTTCCATCCACAGCTTTGATAGACTGCCAGGACCCAGTTTTGTCTGTATATACATACTCCTTCCCAGTGGAATAATCGGCGATCTTTATGGATTTGACTTGCATGGTGAAAGGGGCAAGAGAGTAGTCAACCGGACCTCCAGCCCATTCTAGAGCATCCAGTATTAGGTATTTTAGAGCTCACAATATGGGGCCTAGATACATGCACACGAGAGGAAACTTACCAACTGTGCCCTTTGCGTTCTGCGCAGGGTCACCCCCTGCCCAGTTTCCTATTTTGATATAAGATGGGGTTTGTGGGTAATTCCCAGCTGCCGACTCAGCGACGCGAACGGTGTTCCCATCAATCTTCCAAATAATCCGCTCACTATCCCAATCAATGCTGTACGTTCTGAAAGTGTTCTGGTTATCTGGACTAGGATGGAATCCCCCTCTTGTGTGATCCAGATTCCTTTTCGCGTAATAGTTCGTCTGGACCTGCATATTATCTCCTCCAATCCACTCCAGGTCAACCTCGTCGCCGCATTCGGATTGCAGGACAACGCTGCTCACAATGCCTTTGCCTGGCGAAGATTTGAGAGTGACATCCACCTTGCCAAACATGATGTAGAAGTTTGAGTGGATCTCAGCCTTCATTCCATCCTTTTCGATCGTGAAGCTGCCCCCATCACTGCCATATTTGATATCCTTCGACGCCTCCCAGTCATCTGGGAGACCCTTGGCTAAGTCAATCTCGATGGACTTCCCAAGGGCGGGATTCGGCGGGCAAGCTGAACAGTTTCACTTAACAATTCATCTTTTCCCATCCGGATAGTTGTCTAGCGCGTGACATTGGAGGACAGTCCAACTTACACTTCTGGAGAGGATCGCACTCTGTGTAAGTTTGTGCCAACACGCGAGAGAAGTGGCAGGAGGCTACTGCCAACAGTGGAAGCTTCATCTGGAGTAGCATGCGGAGGTATTGGAGGGTGGTGTGGAGGAGTTGATGCCAGGATGGTATCAGATTGATGGAGTTATTATTACCTTTATCAGTTTGACATAGAATATGCCTAAAGGACAGGATTTAACGCCAGTCAAACTGCACGAAGGAGATTAGATGTACTAGTACTCTTTAAAATGGGAATGGAATTGTCTTTTATGATTTGAATTCACTGGTTGTCTTATGGGTAGAACTGCATGTACCAGACATCCGCAGCGTATACTACTTATCATACATACAAAGAAGAAAAGCAACCAACTCTGCTTCCCGGAAATTATGTTACAGGTGACTGATTGACAGAATATGCAATTGCCCTTATTGGAGGGTCACTCCATTTTCTAAATTTCTAGAGAACGGCGAGCAAATGGAGATCAAAAAAAAAAAAGTACATAGTACATACATACATACTCCGTACTTACATTGGATGCATCCATGGATGCCTCACAATGACAGCTCAACGCAGATCTATCCCCGATCTAGCATGATAGGGCGCTAAGGTTGTTAGCCTCATAAAGCTTTGTTTGGAGCCTCAACATCAACATCCAGCTCAAAAAACTCGCCATTCCACATTCCGACCTCAGCCTTGTGATAGTGGACGGTAGAGATGCAGCATGAGGTTATATATAGCAAAACAGATGTTCTCTCCCTCGCTCCCTCGCATGAAATGCATGTAGTCGATTTGTGTGTGTGCCAACTTTCTCCCACTCCGTCTGTACTAACAACTAGCTAATGGGCGCTAAAAATGGCTATCCATTCAGCCTTCTGTCGTGATCGACAACCCAAACACGACAACAGCTCATCCCCGCAGAAACTTGGAATTGTGGTACCCAAAGATAACCACGCCTGTTGCCAGGAATGTTGGTGGCTTGGTCAGAGCTGTGTTTCATGTTACGGGCCCGTATCCATAGGCAACATACCCACGCCGAAATGACCCCAATTTCCGGAAAAACGGACTATCACTTCTAATTGCATTGGTGAACTCCGTTCATGGCGTGAACTATGGATGGTTACAGCCGTACGGGCACCGGTGTGGTATATTTGAGAAAAGAGCCACTCAAGAATTACGGAATAGTTTGGCGCTATTTGATCGCCCATCAAATCAAATGACTTCAACAAGGAAGGTGGAAACGGATGATCATGATCATTGCTGAGAAATGAAACAAATGGCAAGATTGACATTGCCCCGAAAGCCGTTTCTGCCCTGTTATTTGACGGCCTGAAAACTGGAATGTTTCCCAGCCACTCATTGAGCTAGCATGTTTCAGTTCAAGAGTGGAGAGATACTAGGGTTTGCTGGGAAAACCCCAAAAATTTAATCAGTTATGTAATTGAGAGCCCAAAAACTTGCATGTCTACGCTCCAACATCTCTGATACTGCAAAGAAAAGAAAAAGGAGAGAAAATCCTTTGCAAATGACAATATCGGAAAACGAATCCATCAGCTCCTCCCTCGACAAAATTGCCGATACTCCTCCCAATTGCGAGCTTTACACGACCGTGCTCATCCACCTTACTCACCATGGCTTCCACGACCTCGTCCGCTATAGCTCCAACCGGCAGCGCCATCTGCGGCACCCCAGCCCAATACGAGATCCCGATCCTAGATGCCGCCTGCGCAGTATCCAACAAGAACAAAAACAAAGATTTGATGGACGACTGCTGCAAAAAAGCAGCCGTCACTTTATACAACGACGGCTGCGCCCTTTACTGTCGCGCGGAGGCCCAAACCGTCCAAAATCTCACAAGCTGCTTATTTGAAGCTGGAGTGCCTTATAACGGCGTGTGGTGTAATAAGCCCCAGAACGCTACGGCTACGGGTAAATCTCCTACACAAACGAGCACAGGCACTGGCACGCCTACCTCGACCGAAAGTCCCAGTGCGGCAGCTGCCCTGAATATGCCGGTGTTTGTACAGTCGGGACCGACGAAGTTGGGAATCACCGTTTGCGCTGTTGTGATTCCGGCTCTCATCGGTGGGATGATGTTTTGAAAATGGAACATCGTTTTAAAACATTTGATTTATTTTTAGGAGGGAGGGTTTAATTCTTGAAAACAGGTTCCTGGCTCAGGTACAATATCAATTTCATGCGAAACTTTAGGCCATCGGAGAATACCCAGATTTTCTTTTATTTTACATATGTATATATACTTCTTTTTAAAAATTTTAATCAATATTATTGTCACTCTTCTAAATAGGAATATCGGGGAGAATAAAAAGTATATAAATTCCAAGTTACTAGCTCCTGTAGTCTGCCCGACAATATCCCCAAAAAGTTTAAGAAAATTTCCGAAAATCTGATACCGTATTGTTACAAGATCTATATATAAGCCTGCTCCTTACACTGCCATATGCTGCAAGATATCCCTAGTGGAAAAGGTTAATTTACAACATGGCCTTGGGCATCTGCTTCATAGCCTGTCTAACACCCAAATCCGCCAAAATCTCCTCCGTGCCACCAAGAATCGCATCGAACTTATAAGTACGGTGGAACTGCTCCACAACTCTTCCCATTCCAGTCTGCGTTAATCCACGGCCGCCGAAGATATTCACAGCATCGTCCGCAATATCATGTGCGCAGCGCGTTGCATAAGACTTGAGAAGTCCAATAGGCCCACCTAGGTGCTTCGATTGTTCCTCATAGCTCATATTGCACATTTGATACGTGATAGTTTCCAACCAGGACTGCGACGCTTCGACAAGAGAGATCATCTTGGCTAGTTTCTGGCGGATTACGGGCTGGCTGATCAGGGGTTTGCCGAAGACGATGCGCTGGTTCGCCCATTTGAGACACTCTTCGACGACGGTGCGGCCCCAGCGAATAACGCTGCAGGTCATGGCCCAGCGCTCGTGGTTGAAATTGCTCATTATCACAATAAATCCCTTGTGCTCTTCGCCGAGTAAGTTTTCGACAGGGACTTTGACATTGTCGAATTGAATAAAGGTGGTGGCTGCAGCAGTGGAGTATGATGTCTTGATCCGCTTGGTCTCAACATTCTCGTCGCGGGGGATTAGGATGACGGAGAATCCCTTCTCGGTCCTGCAAGCTGTAACGAAGTAGTCGGCCCACATGCCGTTGGTGATCCATTTCTTCGTGCCTGAAGGAAGTAGGACACGATATTAGCAAGAACCCAAAAGAAAAGAAAGATAATGCGTTTTGGTCAATTACATACCGTTGATTATGTAGTGCTTGCCATCTGGGGTCTTCGTCGCCGTTGTGCGGATACCCGCAACATCGGATCCAGCAAACGCTTCCGTGACAGCCAGACACATAAATTTCTTCCCAGACAGGGACTCTTCCGTGACCCTTTCGCGGAGTTCCTTATTCTTAAGCCACTGTCGCACTGCAGTCAGGGAAATCATCATGCCAGCCATGTTGCCGTCCTGGAATCCTCGCGCGTTTGCTCGTGCCAGCTCTTGAGCAACGATAAGGTCATGGAAGTAGTCAAACTCCTCTCCCTTCACCTCACCACCAAACAGCTTCCGCCCGTGCAAATGGGGCCCTGGGCCTAGACGCATGGCGAGCAAATTTGTCTCCGCCATCTTGTCCACGAGCCCCTGAGAGATATATGTACCATCAAGCTCCTTCTCCTGCGCTTCCGGATACACATGAACATCGACAAACTCCCGCAGGACTTTTCGTAATCTACGATGTGACTCGTTGTAGTAGGGGCTCTTGTAGATCGGCGACAGCCATAATGGTTCCCCATACGGGACCTTGCTGAGATCACCAGGCTGCGGATCTACCACTTCAGGCGTTTCGTTCTCGACCGTGCCGATGCAAAGATTGGCGTATTTTTGTAGCACCTCGTGTCTGTGGAGGTTGTAGAAAGCGGCCGTGGCATCGGTTCCGGCAACCTGCGTAAGGACGACGTTGCCGCCGGGGTGTGCATCGAGGAAATCGGTCAAGTCATAGACTTTGTGGTCGATAATACACCAGCACGAATCCTCAGTGTTGTTTTTTGCAACTTCCTCCCGCGAAATCTTCCTGGTTGCTGCGCTGGATGCCATGTTTGCTCACTTGATTCAAATGCGGTCCGTCCCGCTTGGGTGGAGGGGTCCCAAGGGAGGCAAGCAAAAGTGATGAGATGTTTCTTTTTACAACAACCAACGAAAAGAGCGCCGAATTTACCGGGCTGTTTCAATGGGGGGTGGCGCTATTTTATGTTTTGTCTTGGTCGGTCTGGGACTTATTTTACCTGTCACCTGCGCATCGTAGCTGAGGTGCGGGCAAGGGAGAAATGCCTCGGCTCGGCGATTGTTGCGCTTGTTCCGGCTATCGGCTCAACCACTCGTATCGCCTCTTTTATTAAACATTTGCTATGAGTGAGACGTGTTGTATATATATAGAGCTTTGCTAGAATGATTGGGTCAAAGATTTTATAAACGCATCAGCATGGAGTCGAGATCAACACTGTTACAACATCTGTGCTGCGGGTGTGGCCTTTCCGCTAGGCTTACAGATAACTACCATGACGGTTTTCATGTGCAACTGGGTCCGAGTCACTGGCTGCTGGCTATTTATACCTATTACCAGGTTACCGGAAAGAATATATTGAGCTGGTAACTCATCTTCCGACCATTCAATGATACTACTTGTCAAAAACAAAATGGAAACAAAAAAGAAAATAGGGGCCAATTTAGAGGAAAAACTGATTTCCCATAACATTACCGAACCACGACATCAAGAGACCATCCAGCACTTCTAGCAATACATCTTATCTTTCCTGGCCACATTTTTCTTCGGAACGAGGGTAATACGGCCAATATCCCTATCCGGACGGGAATCCCCAATTAGGCCAGGCAGCTCCTAGAGCCTAGTGCATTTCTCGATTCCACCAGTACTAGAAAGCTCGGAGCCCTGTCGCACTTCATGCGCCAGGTCAACACCAAAGTGGAACAGGCTGTATCCATCTAGTGTCTCTGACCAGCGACAGCGGAAGCCATAGGTTACTCCTAGAATCGCACTGCTAAAAGACCAGATGACGAAGAGGGTGCCAGGTATGCTTGGATTGAATCTCCTACGTCCAAGCACTTTTCCTCGTCGTGACGAGGTGAGGTTTTTCGCGATGTAGCTAGCACCTACCTCAGTGCTGTAAATGCCATCATACATAAGTTGCAACGCATCCATGGCATACGCACGCATGATGGCCTCTACCAATGTCGTGGGATTGGTCTACCGTTTATAATAAACAGAGTTGGAGACAACCTCTGGAGGAGCTGCCATGATAGCATTGAAGATTTGAACATACTCCTCACTGAGTATTTCCGCGGCGGCGTAACCAAAGCGGGAAGCAGGGCTCTCTATTTCCGCCTCCTTAAAAGGGGGACTGGGAGACCGCTTAGAGTCAGTGTATGTGGAGGTCCGGGCGTCCAGTGTGGCGGTGCCAAGATCGGATGTATGTACAGAGTACACAGCGCACACCGATGGGGTCTGCAATGCTTATCGGGGGTCGGTGTGGAATCGACCTTAAAGTCCCTTCCTCGTCTTCGCCAAAGAAAAATTTGTCAATTTGGGACGTCTCGTTGGAAGCCAACGTAAATGGCTGAATACATATCTGCTATGGTCTGCTCGAGCTAGTCGTCAAATTGAGGATGTTTAATTAGGTCAGCATAGGCTGGGGCATATCGCATTTGCCTCATGGCATATTCTAGGACATTGGCATACTAGAAGTCTTCTTCGTCGAATGCTAACACCTCGGAGCCATTATAAATGCTCAGTTTAGTGAGATCTATGCCAATACGCGCATGCCCCCATATGTTTGCTGGGAGCCGGGGGTGGGGGGCTCAATGCAAGAACAGTTCCATTTCCCTCGAAACTTGACGATTTTCCAACTGCGGCTAATCCTCTATACACACTATCTAGCGAAGGTTTCCGGGTGAGGACTTTAAACTCCGATGCCGACTTCACAGCGGAGCAATTGTAACTGAGACGGATGCCCCACGCCATTGCCAACCCATATTGGCTAAGGCAGAGCCCAAACACAGCAAGTGTGAACCACGCATAGTAAATCAGGATCTCGTGCTCGCTCCCATATGCGACAATATCACGCTCTTGCAACAGGTCTAGTGAAATGGCAACCCAAAAGCCAGTTACTGCAAGCGGCACCAGAATTCCGGCCAGCGTTCGACCATAATATCGCTCGAGTTTGTAACAGCCACTATGTGGACTATCAGGAGTGAACGGCGGTGACTCCAGTTTATCATGGTCGATCAAAGGTTGTGAGCTCGTCGTCGTACCCGGAGAGTCGTTATTTGAAAACGCATAACCCGCGCTCTTTTCGAGATCCAATTCCTCCGGTACCTTTCTTTCGGTGAGTTCGTTTCTGTTCTTCTCCATCCATCTTTTTGGAAGGTTAAAAACAAAGCGGTCATTGGAGATCACAGAGGACATCGACGATTGTTCCAAATTTTGCATCATTATGCCTTTCACGCGTGGAGCTCTGGAATGTAGAATATATGCATTCACTGCCACATCAATACTGATGCTATTCCTAGGAGCCCGAAAGTGTCACACAGGTGGTACAGGTGCATACGTATGATGAAAGGATGGCTGGCGAATCAACTTTCGTATATGATGCAATTGTTGTTGGTGAGAGCGACGCATCCTTGTTACGGAATCGGCTCACCAGGCCCGCTCGTTTGCGTGTACATGCAAGTGCCGGCCCATAACATGCAACTAAGGCCTCCATCATCCAATAATGTGGCTTCATCACGAAGACTCTATGATAAATTTAGCAACAATTCGGACATTCCACAGTACAACGGGTATGTTCCGATAACTGTCATCCGAAAGAATTGCACGAGCCCCTTCAAAATCAAGCACAACCTAATATGACAAACAGGATGAAGGGTTAATGCACGGAGAATCCACCACACAGCGAATGTCCTTTTTTGGGAGTAGGGTACTGTGACTGTGACCTCCGAAGCTCCGTAATATATATTTATCCAATAATACCAAAAAATGCGCTTATCTCGAGTAAAGGGATATTGGCTTTGTCTGATTCTCATCGCAGAACAGTTCACCGAAGCTTAACGGACTGGATTTGCGCACAGTTCTTGGCACAGGCCAAGCATCCAAGAACCCAATTTTTAAGCTTAATTCCAACGTGAGGGAGCTTCATTTACGCAGCGTACATTCTCAAGCACGGCAGCAGCGATTTCAAGCGACATATAGGGAAGTCGGCTTTTCTAACAATATCCTGAGTGCATGATTATGCATATCGGATGCGCAAACCTCTGTTGCGTTATGTTATGGTGTTGCATCTTCAAGAATTTGCTGACCGGAGGGATCATTGGGCCTTATACTTTGCGGGGTGAACAGATCAAGCGTTGGATAGACCCGGCAGTCAATTTTGAAAGCAAACATCTCATGTGGCTAGATCAGTCGCTGGCGAATGCAGGCTTTGCGCCTCAGCAGCCTTGTGACATGCCCTCCGCAAGGGCGGCTTACGTGGGCATTGAGCACTGCCCAATCGCGAACTCCTGCCATAAAAGAGTAGTTATATCAGAGGGGAGTCGTTGACTAAAGGCACTATTTCGAACAGAAATATGACACGCCCCTAGCTAATGGACGTTTCGTTGTGTCTCGAAAGACATCTCTTGTCTTAGTCGCCATTCGATCTGGCAGTATACAATACTTTGAATAGGATTTTGGTCCGTTTCGCTGGTTTCTCCTTTCTCTTCATCTTGCGTCATATCAACCTCTGGGAGCATATGCCTCTACTTGGTTCGCACAAGCATTGTAGGACTGTTTCAATAACTTGGACACTCTAAAGAGATTTTCAAGAGAGGAGATATATGGCGAGATAAGGGTTTCTTGTGAAGACGAAACATTCCATGGATAGTATCTCTCCCAAACTGGAGGAAAGTCATGGCACTGTTACAGGAAACCGCTCAGATGACGAGGCAAGGCAAGATCCTGACAGGCACTTGGATATTAAGAATATATGCCGGGTAATTCAATAAATATTGCACTGCTTCACTATCTCTTGTTAGGTTCTGCCCAAAGAATGCCTATGCGCACCGTTGGATCATCCATTCGTGCCACAACGGAATAGCACACCGCTCTACTAGGTAGATACCAAACCGTCGGCATCGACTGTGCCAACATGACTTTCGCCATCAACAGCCTCCTCATTGAAAGCGCACCGCGGAAGTATGCCACAATCGCACCCATCAGCGAAATTCGAGGCTGGTTTTCAAACGTCACTAAACATTCATTGCTAGTGCGAGTTGGAGTGATGGCCATGATATTTTCTATTGGTGTTAAAACAATAGCAGTAGGAAGAAGTATGCGAAGAACGTAGCTGATATGGTTACAAAGCATGGTTTCGATGGTGTTGGTGAGATATCTTTCTGCCATATTCCTTCGATTTTTTTTCCTTCTCTCAATGCTGTGTGGATACATGAAAATGATAAATCTGTTTGCAAATTCTAACTGCTTGTATTCCTACTAGTAATTGATTGGAAATACCCCGACGGTAACGAACATAAATACAACAGACCTCGAACTCAAACAAAGGAGCGAGGTTGACAATTTACCGCTTCTTTTCGGGGAAATAAAAATGCCCTAGACGCCGAATAACTCTCTATCATAGGGCCTGGTGGAAAACCGGTTATGATTTCATATACCTCCGCAAAGGGGCCGTCAATTTAATAAGCCGTGACAATGCGGCAGCCCATCATACAAAAGTCAACGGCAGCCTAAAGACAGCTCAGCACTACTTAGATTATTGAAGGCGGTCTCCTGAAAAGATCAGCCAAGGTCTCGTTTTCTCCGTGAAGTAAATAATTCACACTAGACCCAAACACAAACTGAACTTCCGAAAAAGCCTCTTGGGTATCCCATAGTCCATGTTGACTTGGAAAATGGCACAGATGTTACTCCTTCGAACATGATTACCTTCGAAGCAGCCCATATATCCCCGCCTCCTGTTCCCCTGGTAGTGTCACGAAATACGACCTTTGAGCCTCTCAATGGATTTCGGTGACAGGATGGATTATGCTGTAGTTCAGCTGGTTTTTAGTAAATAAAATACCCCGGTCCTCAGGTTCCTCTTCTTCCATATTGCGATCCTTCAACTAATTGACATTCAATTACAATGAACAGTGGTGAGCGCACTGAATACGGCCGCACCGACTGCCAAGCCCACGATAGAAAAACAATGGACGACATGGAAGCAAGCTGGACACTACTACACAGCCACCAAACCAAGCTGGTCTGGACTTGAGAGACTACCGACCTAATCACCAGGATGTTGGAGGATATTGTGCGCGAGAAGTTGAGTGGTGCTGAGAGCCTAGGGTCTTGGGCTTTATAATTATGATTGGAGCTCTGTTGAGGCGATGCAAGAGGAAATGGAGGGAGAGAAGTGAACTTTGGTGGGCAAAGAGGAATGCTGGTAGAATGTTATCCTACTTGAAGGGAGTTTATGTTGGTTGGTTGGATATTTCTCATATTTTCCCTTTCTTTGTCTCCCTTCCTTTTACCTGCTCTATTCTGGCGGGGGAGGATATTATTCCGTTAGCATCATTTCTTTTGCATAGCTGAGACGGTAAGGTTTTTAGAATCTTTCTTTTATTTCTGCTGCATTTGCTCAGATGTTTTGAAAAGTCAATGGTTTGATGATTGTAATTCTTATAGATAAGATTGATAGTATAAAAGATGTTTCACTGAAGAGCAACAAAGCAGTGCACACATCTGTTCAGCTTGATGTAGACAAATCATGTAGATAGTATTCTTGTCTTCAAGTGTTGTTGCTGAGATCTCATCTACTACTTTTCTTCAACACAACTTCACACCTGAAAATTAATACTGCTTCATTAGAATATAGAGTCATCATCCATTTTTGTTCCTCTTCTTGTTTCATGTCTTTTCTTTTGTTCCTGAAACAGATTGCCTCTAGCTAATGATCATCTGTATCAAACAAAAAGAACCTGTGAAGTTCTGATCAAGAAGTGGAGGATGATTCTTACCCCTGCCAGTCTTCGCACAGAGTTAAGAGCACGACAAATCAGAAAGAGCATTGTGAGTATCATTTTTTATACAGCTTGCATCTGAATTTGCAGCCAGAGGATTCTTGTCCCTCCAAGCTGATACTCTGCTATATCTCATACATAGGCAAAGGCAAAAGAACGCCGTGACAACCCCAAGAAAGAATTCTGGCTCAAGAAGGTCATAGTAAACTTCTGGCTTCCGTTGAGTAGCAAAATCCCCTTTGTGAACTCCATCAAGGAAAAGGTTTGCATTCCTCGCTCTCCAGTCGTTGGGATTCCACGCCTAGGTGTTATATATAAGTTCTGACCAACTTATTTGCCTGAAGCATCGCGAGAGACGAGCTGCCAGAGGCCCATTCCAGCCAACCCCGATGCCGCTTGAACATGGCTTCGCTTACGCATATGCGACCCAAAATGCCCCTGACCAAGACCCTGATACCGACAGGTACAGCGAGGAAAGTGGAAGAGACAGTTTGGTTTCAGATACGTCGTCTGTGAGGGAAGACATGTTCCACCTGGACGGGTTTGATATTGTGGGCAACTGGAGAGAATTCGAGAGACGAATGGGTGCTAGTTATAATTAACTACGACATCTTTGGAGAGATGGGTGTTCCTGTACGCTTCCCCAATTTCTCCCTATTAAACAGAATAATATGAGACGGAGACAGACACATGTTAATGTGTGCCTAGGGGTATAAAACAGCTTGGGAATTGGACTGTTGGCATGCTCGCATAAGAACCACTTTTCTGGAACAGGCACATTGTTTTGTTTTGAGAGAGGTTGATCATCATAGTATTGGCAATGATGGGGTGATTTCCTCGTGGTGAGAGAGGAAAGGAAAATGGGAAACGTATTGACTTGAAGTATGCATTGTGCAGCACATACTTTGGAACAGAGAAATTGAATTTGAGGTATATGGATAAGAGGTTTTTTTGAGGCATGGAGAGTTTCCGGGCTTGGCAATAAATAACACGTAGGATATGTGCAGATAATGAATGACGATAACCAGCCCAGTATTATAACTATTGCGATGGCAATCTTCCCGTCGCAAACAGGAGGCATGCGGATGTCGTGATGTCGTGATGTTGTGATGTCGTGATGTCGTGATGTCGTGATGTCGTGATGTCGTGATCGTCGTGATTGTCGTTGATGGATGGATCCGCCGACTCTGGACTCTGCAGGAGCCGAGAAGAAGTCCAAAATAGCGTGGCACAGGATCACCTTACCTAAGCGCTGACTACGCTGATCTTCCTCAACTAGTTCTCTCTCCATGAATCACGCTTGACCACACTGCACTGTTCCTCCACTTGCATGCTAATTCCGCCCGTCTTCGCCGAAACAACGCATCTTTCGGCCTGATCCGACCTGCATAAACGCTCTTCTGCACATACTTCCCAACTCTGCCACTCTTTCCTTTATATACCCCTCCCCATCCCGCCCGTGTTCCCCGCTCTCCCGATACCGCTTTAGACCGCCACCACCTAACTCCCTCGCTTTATCAACGCTGCATCCCGCCCTCAAATAAATTCACTGCAAACGAGATAGATTAGTTAATCCTTACGGTTAAATCTACCCTGCGGAGCCGCGAGGCCAAGTTCTCCAGAAGCGGTTCCAGCCATCAAATATCCAGCAGTTCGTCGAGATGAGTAGTCCAAAGCGGAGGATCGAGACAGATGTAAGTCCAGATTTGGAGAGATATGGTGTGATAAGTATTATGTCCTCCTTGGAGATATTGTGACTGACTACCTGGGTGTTTTTCTTTGTTCCTACAGGTGATGAAGTATGCTGCCTTATATCCCATGCTGCTTGTGAAACAGAAACTAACCAAGGTTACAGGATGTATGCTATTCCCGTGACTATGATTACAAGCTTTATATCTGCGAGATAGTTTCTCTTGATATCCGAAGATGATATCTAGAGTAGTAGTTTCGGGGTGCTAACAAATAGCCCAGGTTGATGAGTGACTATGAGGTCACACTTGTTAACGACAACAGTGAGTGCAACTAGTCATTTATCTTAGTATATGAAGATCATATGTTGCTAACGTAACTTAACATTTCTGTTATAGTGTATGTAATATAACCTTCGTATCCCCTAACCCATCGCTCGTTGTTGAATCGTTGGCGGTACCCCGGGCAAGATTGACTCAGCTACCGAATTTAGGCAAGAGTTCTACGTACGATTCAAGGGACCGGAAGAGAGTGCGTATTAGCCTCGATTGGATATATGGCGTTACCGGACTAACAACCTTTCAGCACCATTCGAGGGCGGGCTCTGGAAAATCCATGTGGAACTACCCGATCAGTACCCATACAAGAGTCCGAGCATCGGCTTCGTGAACCGAATTTACCATCCTAATATTGATGAGCTGTGAGACTTTACACCCACTCAAAAATCACCTTTTAGCACCATCTAATTGGACGGTTAGGTCTGGTTCGGTATGTCTGGATGTAATCAACCAAACATGGTCACCCATGTACGACATGATCAATATATTCGAAGTCTTCCTCCCACAGCTCCTCCGATATCCTAACCCATCAGATCCCCTAAACGGGGATGCTGCCGCCGTGTTGATGCGAGATCCAAAGAAATATGAGGCCAGGGTGCGAGGTATGATAGGAAGTTAATCGCTAGTCTCATCCAAAAGTTGCGGAAGCTAATAAAAATCTCCTTTTTGTGGGGTAGAATATGTCGCCAAGTACGCGAGCAAAGATGCAGCGGATGAAGCTGGCGAGGACTCGGAATCAGATGACGAACTGAGCTCGGTTGGCAGTTACATGTCCGGGAATGAGGAGCCCGCTGGAGAAATGGACGACGTATGATGGCCATACCTTCTTCTCTAAAACGCCGGACCGAGCTTTTGCATATGTGTGTTTGGAGCTCTTGGACATGGAAGACACAGGGTATACCTCGATTTCGTAGTTTTGCCCCCGACTAGGGCTGCTACCCGGCGTTAATTCAGGAGTTCGACTCAAACAGCGGATTGATTTAACCCACCTTCTTCATCATGGCTGGGAAATAATATTATATTTTAAATGAACGGGGATATCAAGTGCAGGGTACAGACAACATTATGTTCAACATTTACTTCGACGAGTTGTTCCCGGGGCGCCGTTTTTCAATCTTTCTAGCAGGACGGGGCCTGGTACTCTAAGCAGCATATTCATATTCTTCTTTGTTTTTGTTTGTGTGTTTCTATCGTCTTATTCTTTTTCTCCACAAGGCGTTGTTTCTCTGGACCTCCTCATTTTTATTTTTATTTTTCTGAATAAATTCGTTTTACCTGTGTTGTCTGGTTCCTCTCATGATTTGGTTTCACAATGTGCCTTTTTTTTCCGACTTAGCTAGCATATGATAGCTGTCTATATCTCTCTCCGCTCTTCCCAACATGTTTACATACAGCTTGCTCTACTTTTCTTTTGACCACTCCCTGCGAAACCTGAAATATCCGGTTATCTTCATATTAGGTGACCAGACTCTTCCATGCTGCCACAGCAACCAAAAACTGTGTCCGACATGAAATCCAACCTCAGCACCAACAAAAACGGACAGTCTGGATATGGCGAAAGCAGACAAATAATTATTTCACAGCATCATTCATACAGACCTCCCGTCGAAACCCAATTCTAGATAACCTCCACAGATCCCAAACCAACCAACCACTCACAAATTTCCCCTTCTGCCTAAGTGCCTTCTGCGTAAGTGCAAGATTTGAGGTCAACCCCCCTTCACTTGACCATCTAGGCAGGCCCCTTTGATACAAAACAAACAAAGGAGGCCCATATACCCCACGCGAAAAAAACGAAACGAAAACTTCAAAGCATAAACTAGTGCCCCTGATAGTCCCCGTTGCTAGAAATATACTAATGTCCAAACCCCACCACCCCCCTTCGAAATATTCAATCAACTATTGGACCAACTGTGCAGCAGGCACTTTATGCAACCCACCATCAAACCGCGGCGGAAGCACGGTAGATGTGCCATTCCCCAGCAGCCCTAAGAGCGAGGTTTGCAGCGCCTGATGTGCCAGGTTCGTCAGATGATGCAGAATTACCAGGCTTAACAAACGTAATTAATTCATTAAATATTTCATCCAGCTACTTTAATCTGTCATCCTACACATAACATGACAAGGTGTTGTGATATCCAGAGTCAGAACAAAATATTGAATGGAGCATGACTTGTCTGATATATCGCCCCATATTTTATTCTGCTTTTAAAATATTTGAACTCGTAAATATACAATAGAATGCAACAATGTAAGGAGATTAAGGAAATGAGAAGATATATGATTAAGATATGAGATCGGGAGACAGCCCACAGAGATTTTGAACAGAAAAGAAAATATAAGAAGGGAATGAAGAGATAAAGGATATAAATATAGCCGAACCAAACACTGCCACTCCTGTCTTTTTCTCAGTATACTTAGCCTTGGCTCCTTTTTGTCTAGCCCTATTCTTTTAGACTGGAGTTCAATCAACAACACAAGCCACAATAAAGGAAAAAAAAAAAAATATTTAATAGAGGGAAAAAAAAAAAAAAAAGAAAAAGGGGGGGGGGGGGGGGGGGTTCTTCCCCATCCCTTTTAATGAAGTACTACCACTCACAAGCGGTGGATTTTGTGTAAATAGGATGCAAAGAAAGGAAGCTGATGTGGTTGTATAAGGATATTTGGTTGTCGCATGGAGGACAATGCGAACGGATATATGTGCGTGACTGAAATGTTGACAGCTTAATAAGACAAAACGAATGGGAATATCACCCGGAAAAAGAATTTAAAAAAGGAAATGGGGATAAAATGAAGGCTTTGGCCAGCCAAGAAGATGCGGTGCAATTCAAATAGCCTTTGGGACACGGAATGTGTAGTAGGCAGGGGAAAAAATGTGACGCTCGCGTTCTAGAGGGGAAGACAAGAATAAGCTTCGAGCGGATATCGGTTTCAGGTCCAGTTAGGAGTTATGTCGGAACATTTGTATATCAACCATAGAGGGATTTTCTTCTTGAAAGAACATAAAATTGGTTCCCAGGATATTCGAGCAGAGCGTGCTGTCGTTGGTGACGGAGATCCGGCAATCGAGTCCGAGCACGCTTTCATGGACCGAGTAAGGGGAGGTTCTGAGCGGGCTTTTGCTTGATGGGTGATGTTGTTTCAATCGATGAATATAGTATCCGCCTGTTAGCTCCATCCAGCTCCTTGTTTGTCCGTACATGGATTTCGCCTTTCAGCTGGCTGTTCAATCGATAACCAAAACCGCAAATATATCCTTGGATTCGTCTTTTCCGTTCTCAGTATTTATACCAAGCCTGGTCTTTTTACCCCTCCTCGCCGTCATAACAACTTCTCCCCATTGTTTCGGTACATTTGAGAGGTTGACGTCATTTGTTGGTGGTAGTGGCGCATAGCGCAGTTTCCCAAATTCTCCCGGAGCTGGTGACGCAGCTCGTCTAATGCTATCTGCTTGGCTTTCAGTTTTCTGCTCTTGTGCTGGAGATTGAGGCTCTTCCGTTGTTGATGATGTTGCGGTCTGGTGGCTCGCTGCTCGCGATGAAGATGCGGTGGTCGTATGTATCGACGAAGGCGCAGGTCTGGGCGGGTGGGGGCTTTGCAAGGCCCAGATATCAATCACGGAACTAGTGGGTAATGGTAATGATGATTAGCTGAAGAGATCATGTGCTGGTATGGTGGCATTGATTTGCGTTGCCAAAGAGGGCGGATTATATATATCTGAGTTACTTAAAGGCGCAAACTTACTCCGATGTGCGTTGGCATATTGCCTCTAGGGCTTCTCGTTCGCGTTTCAAGGATTCTGGGTCGGGTCCCTGGCGATGGGCAGATCCAACAGCGCCGTACCCATAGCCTGACTGGTACAGGTCATCGTCAAGCAACCGTGATGATTCAGACTACAAAACATGTCAGTGAAATTAAATGGAGGGTGAACTCGACACAGGAGGCTTCTTCGCTGCCAGCCATCACAAGGCAAAAACGAGACAAAAAAAGGAGAAAGGACTGCTTACGTCGTGGCTGTCCCGGCCACCCCGACCCAGGCAAGACGCGCAAATGCCCATGTATTGCGATCTAGTTTGCGACTCAACAACGTGGATGTGTATTTGATACTCGACCTCGCAATCGAGCAATCGAGGGGTAGACAGACGTGAGAAGTGGCAGGTTATATGGTAATAACAGGGGTGCTAGGTAGGCGAGAAGGCTGAACGTAAAGTCATCGAGCCGTCAGAATGTGCGGCATCTGCATATGGCGGCGGGAGTAGAAGACCCGGATAGTTGTGATGAGGTTGTACTGTAGATGCGAAAGTTGAAGGCTGGAAATTGATGAATTGGCAGCGACACAAACCAGCATGCTGCCAAGCCTGCCAAGCCAGTCTTGTGGCCAATCACCAGCCTGGATTTGTTGATCTGGTATTGGTATTCTACCTCCCGAGCACAGAGCGTATTATACGCCTCAGTCTGGTACGAACTCCATGGATTAACGCTGTGAGCAGTCTACTCGTTCTTTTTGTACACAGTCACAGATTTCAGTCAAAAATACACTTATTCAGCAAAAATACCCTGGTTTTGATCATTACAAGCAAAAATACAGATGATATTTTTGAAAATGAATGAGTAATCAAGATTTGACTTTTCTAGTGTTTTTAGTGTCAATCAGAGGTGAAAAGTGGAGCCGTCTAACTAAATGAGGTAAAGAATATCTGCTTCAAAAAGAATTGTCCATTTGTCTGTTAAGATTCTGACCAAAATAGTAGCATCTATAACTACCCACTCCGTACAAAAAGAGTACGAACGCACCGAACAGGCCCTAAGGGGACAATAATGGCTTGCCCGTAGAGTCTATACATACCAGGTTGAGTCTACGAATAGGTTCTACGGAAAAGAGTCAGTTATCATTCATTACTGTGAGATGAAAATTAACTAACAATTGACGTATTCACCACGAAATTGATTTCACCACACCACTACCTAGATCGATTTGAGAAAATACATTTGGTGTTTATTGGTCTTAGGCGTACTCTCTCATGAGTGTAGAGACACAAAGTGATCCAGGTTGTGGTGTGATCAATTTCGTGGTGAAATACGTTAGATAAAGGCAGAGAGACTTTGAATCCAGACTCCTCTAGCAGATATACACTGTCAATTTTGAGGATAAATGGGTACTATTATTATTATTATCTTATAACTACCACAGTAAAGCCCTGGACAGTGTCTGATTTTTATATTTAAGCTGCACGGGAGATCTGAGCCCAGCCCCACAAAACATGCTCTTAGGGCAGCGATATGAGCGGCAGAGATTTTTAATATATTTATAACTATACGACCGAGAGTTTCCTGTGACAAATGCGGGGACAGACCGTTCGAACAACAACTCTCAACCTACTACTACAGATCATGCCGTGTCAGTGCTTAATTCGACTTGACCAGGCGTTCCATTTAATTTGCTTTTCTCCACACGTTTACTCGCGCGGTCGTTTTTATTTCCCGTTCGTGCGACGCTACCCTGCCGCAATACGATAAAACAGGCCTAGATAAAATGAGCAAATGAATCAGTGTGCCGGACGGACTGGTTGTTCTCGCTTCAAACAGTTCTTTTTCTTTTCTTTTCTTTCTTGCTTTCTTGCTTTCTTTCTTTCTTTTTTTTTTTTTTTCTTTTATCCGTTCCAACATATATATTCTCTGACCATATTACCCGTTCAATCAGTGATTCAATCCATTAACGGACCCACGTCCATGCAGCTGAAGCTCATAAACATTTGGCATGCCATTTGGGTCTGCTCTCGCCCATTTCTTAGCTCGTATCAAGCCCCACGTTGACTTTTCTTTTGACATCGAGTGACCGGGTTTCCTATGGACCTTGCGCTTTGCAACCTCAACCCCGGCCTGCTACGATCAATGGAAATCAAAGCGGCCTGAAGACCTTGCCTTGATCTGGTGTCAAGGTCCGTGAATCCCTACGCTGTAGTCAACCCCAGGTCCTTGGGTTGATAATTCTGCACGTCAAGCCTACCTAGCCGCTCATGGTTCCCAGCCGGCCCCTGTCAATCAGTGGCTTTGCTGAAGATGGCCTCTTGCTGAGATTCGTCCTTTTCATCTTCTCCTGATCCGTTAGCGCATCCTTGATGTCGCCCTCTCATATAAGTGTGAGTGTGACCGTGGGATTGTCTCACATATATACCTTGGTAAACCAACCTGTGCATCCTGCGAAGATGCTCCAAGCCTGCCCACTGTGTACAACCCCCGCGGAAGAAAGTATTAGCCGATAACGTCCTCAAGCCCAAATCCAATCAATCCCCTGGGTGTTTTATCTGCTCAATTTATTCCGGTATCCCCATGGTGTGGCGTCCTATCCATGTATTTGTTTATGTACCCCTCTTGACAGGCTCTCGTTGCCTTCAACCAAGAGCCTGAAAGTGATAATATAAGAAGCATTGCCACTCTCGTACGAGATTTCATGACTCTGATCTTTCCTAAATTATCAAGTCTATCCACGCATATCTCCGCCCTTATAAAAAAAGAAAAATCCTACCATATCTTTTTGACAGACGAGGTTTTGGCAATGAAGTTTCTCGGCATCCTCACGTCGCTCTCCATCCTTGGAGCACCGGCTCTAGCAGCTTTGAATGGCCCGTGTAGCGGTACCAGCGATACGCGAGGCTACTACGGAATCTGCGTTTCGACATCCACCTGCAGGTCTTATGGCGGGACATACGTGAGCAACCGCTGCCCTAATGACCCGGCCGACGTCAAATGCTGCACAGTTGCCCGTTGTGAAGACCGCACGAGCTACTGCGGATGGACTAGTCGCCATTGCAGTGGAAGGTTTAGATCTGGTGCGTTTGATTACATCTTTTTTCTCCCCTTCTCCACCCTATTTTCATACGGAGAAAACTCCCCTTGGTACAAGGCTTCCTGACACCTCCTTGCAGGCTTCTGTCCTGGAGGCAACAATTACAAATGCTGCGACCACTGAAAGGCCCTTACTGCGCACGGTTGCGGAGAACAACCTCCTAAGTGTTGCTTGGCTCCTATATGTAACTTCAAATGGAGGATATATCAAAATTTCTGGTCTTTCGCACTCCTTTGTTCCACCCTTCGGCTTCCTCTCAAGTATTGCTTGCGAAGGGTATTTGGCAGTGGTTGTTATTTAAAACATGTTCCATATTCTTCTGTCATTATGTTTAGCAAAATCTAAATGTGGCTATTCAAGAGTCAGAAACTGTCCTTGTCGGCATTAGAGTAGTTCGGTAAATACTAGCAAATTTCAGTTAGGAAGCGTTGTATTGAAGCCTCTCCACACGCACTACTATACTGCTAAAGTAGGCACTTGACATTTTAGTCTCATATATTCTAGGAGTTGCGACAATGTTACATTAATAGGATGAATTGAATTATAAACAGGTAAATAAAAAAAAAAAAATGTCATAGAACAGCGAATCTTGATAATTAGAATGGACGACAGTGCATCTTGATTATAAAAGTTACCATGTCATTGTACGGAGTATATCTATCTTAGGAAGGGGGTGGAACGAAGCCTTGGCGCGCCTAAACCTTCACTTTCCGCCTCAAAGCTCCCAGTGGGTTAGTTGACCATCCCATCCACTTACTGGTCCATCGAACATGTTTTTCTAATACCTACTTCTAGAAAGGAAGCATAGTAATTTTTCTACTCTGCATATCGTAGCAATCACTTTATACAAGTACACACAATGTTTGAGTTTCCCGGCGCAAAACGGTATGTCACTCTCAGGCTTTACCCGCCTGTCGGCGATCAAACAGTTGACGCCCTACAACAATCTCCGGCCGCAAATAAAAATACCTGTTATTGCTAACTCTCTCTCTCTCTCTCTCTTTTATAGCGTCCGTCGTGAAGATCTACGGTCCCGTCGCTCCTCCCGTTCGCCATCCCCTCCAGATAGCACCGCAGCCACATACGCCGCAAACGCCCTACGAAACATATTCTCGTCGGTAGAAACATATACTCCCCCTACCCCAAAAGCAACACACCCCGAGCCAGACTTGGAACATATCCAGGATGAAGAGGAGGAGCAGGAGTTCGAGTTCAGACTATTTCACGTCCCACCAGCGCGTGCCGGAAAGTGTGTATCGGAACCCACCCGAGGGGTGAAATCTAGGGATGAAAGCGAAGGTGACCATAACGATGGACCACAGCAAATTGATGTGAAAGATGCTGGGATTCAGAAATTCAGGATCAAATTGCGATCACCTACGCCTACCGCTAATGATGGGGTGGGTGGATTTGTCGTCCCGTTTCGGGGTTGGGAGTATTATTTCTCGGACCCTGAGTGGGCTAAGCGGAAAATGGCGGGGGATAGAATAGAGGCCCGGACTGTCGATTTGGATACACGGCAGAAGCAAATATTTGTTGATGCTGCAGTTAGTGGGGAAACAATACTTGAAGGGGCAAAGAAGTGCGCATGGGTAAGTGCCGAACTATTGACTCTCCACCTCCTCCTTTGGGAGACTTTACGTAGGGAAAAAAACAGAAGGAAAGAAACATAGAAAGCGGATATATAAGGAAATAAAATAACCTTTAAGAAGCTTGTAGATGTTGCTAGCTAATAATACTTCGAAAACTAGCCTGGCTGCCATCTTTCATGGCGAGTCATCCATCTCCAAACAACACCATCCAAAACTAAATCGAAAGTTCCGTCAGACTCTTCACAGACAAAAGGTGTCACGCTTTTAAACCCATTAACCACGAAAGCGCCCAAATCCCGAAAAAAACCCGGCAAGAAGCGACGTATCGTACTGCGCCGTCGTCTTGCTGCCACTCGAACTGCGGAAGCGGCTGAAAGAGAAAAGCGAATGAGGAGAAACCGAGAGAAGAAGATTAAAAAGAGGTTGAAGGAAAAGGAAAAGAAAGCTACCCTCCGTGATGGTAGAGGTGAGCAAGAGGGAAGTGCAGGTCGTGAGATGATGAATAATGATAGAGACGATTAACCGGACAGAACTCAACCGAACGCATGCTGGTGAACCTCTGGCAGGCTGGATAGGCGCGCACAAATGAACGCATATGACCAAAGAAAAGACGGCGTCTGTGACATTGGGAAGGGCAATTCGCCGCGAACGGGAAGCCGGGAGGGAGGTGCTGGAGTTCTGTTTCCCTGAGGTGCATGGAGCAACATATGCCACCGTGTACCCATAATACCTTTGATCTATGCTCGCGAAAATAGTTTCGGCCTAACTCGCTTCTCACAGCGTCAAAAATAAGTACATGTACATAAATAAAAAATAGTGATAAGAGTAGATTAGATGTAAACGTGAGGATGAAAGAGAAAGAAGGGAAGCAAGAAAAGAGGAGGGCAAGATGAAATAAACCAGAACCAGAGACACCTACTTGATGTTGGCGGCTGCTTCCATATTGTAGAAATTTAAATATGGAATATAGGACAGCTTAAGAACATTTCTCCACGCCACTCATGTCACGGAAGCTTCCGATGTCAAAGCGGTAAATTGCGAGAAGTGGGGCATGAGGTAAGAGGCGCGAAAAGGGAAATCTCGTAACATAGTTTCAAAACGCTGTTTTGGACGCTAATGTGGAGGACTTTGATAGAACTACCAGCAATATTAATATACAAGCTGCGACCTCCTCGTCCCATGTCACCAATCGCGGAACTTGCCGCCGCTTGGAACTTTATTTAACTAACTAGTCGTCGATAAGGTTTTTTCACGTGGGAGGTGGCCAGCCCTCCCTAATAATAATAATAATACACATACGCTATACGGAGTAACTACACAGTATGGACTAAATACAATATCTACTACATTCTATTGTTACTCTTCCTCTCAACATCCAGTTTCTTAGTGTAGAGACTTAGAGATGATTAGAATTAGAACTAGAAAAGGCTAGAAAGCGTTAGATTCCTGAGAAATATAAAAAACCAATATTATGAGGAGATAGAGGTGATTGTGCTGGATATGTCTAGTGTAAGTACTTTTAATGGGGGTAACTGCCATGGGTTGGGTCCAAGTTGGAATTGGGTTGGAACCGCGCCGAGCTGTTTTTTTGGCATGAGTTAGTACCACGATCAACTGTATGTATACCCGGAGGAGGACCCACAAGCCGCTCAAACACAATCTTTGGTAATAGTTACAACGTTTTTTCATGGAAGCTGGGTGGAACGCCTAAAATATCTTGCAGAGATTATCTGAAAGATGTATAAAGACATTTCTCACATTTAGCACTTCTCTATTCCGGGAAACAGGCTGATTTACTTGTGGTGTCTAATCGATCTTCATACAGTTTCATTACTACTTAAGTAGATCAGGTATTTGGATATCAATTTCCACCTTAAAATAACTCCGTTTCTCATTCACAAAGAAAGTGACCTATGTACATGTACATGTACAAGTAGATATCTCTCTCCACTGAATCAACACTAGACTTAACCCTGACAAGCATCTGATACGATACGAGAAGAGACAAGGAAACCTTGAAATATTGGAAGGGGCAGTTGGCAGGCAGCACGTGATTTATATCCACAAACACCACTTAGCGTACATACCGCTAAGTAAACAGCAGGGAAACAGATAGGAGAAAAGGGGGAAACTAGTTCGAATATCGCCTTGGGATAATCCTCGGGAGCTACAGGAGTCTATGACCGTATGGATGAGTTGAATGAAAGAAGACCGCGGAATAAACCAGATCTTGCATACATCGCACAAGAACATCACTACAAGGCAACTCAGGATCAAGGCTAGCATTTCATTTCCTACTGAGCAAGGCTAGAATCTCATGGCCATCATTTCCCAATCCTGTCTATAGCGGGTGTTAGCGATGCACCTCAATGTAAAAGTGTCTATCATTACACTTCACTCGGAAGGTTACTTACAAAAGTATAAAAGTATCTTTCACACAACATCAAATGTAAGTATTTATTAATTAATCCCCACCAGGCTCAAAATCACTCTTGCATAGCACGTTGGGGAGAAATTGCTGCCCAAATTCCGAGGCACATTGGGAGTAACCGAAGAGTATGCAAGACAAAAACAGCTGTGTGATATAATTATTTTTGCAAAGTGGCACTGGTGTAACAGGAAAAGAAAATAAGAAAACAAAAAAAGAAAGAAAAATATAGAAAAAAAACGGGTATTATGCAAGCCAGTCGGACGTGGACAAACAAAAAGTACACAGTACACAGAGGCCGAGAGTGCACTACGGGGAATCGTGCTCAGTTGACACAATAAAGAAAAGGAAAATATAGCGCATAATACAAGCGGCAACCAACATAAATCAGTAGGAGTACTGAAATATCCAACGATACAACAAGATATTAATCCACCAATATCCAACCCAGATTTGATATTTTAGTTCATGTCATGTATAAAGGCAAAACAACATTCCATGGTTGCGTTTGTTGCAGCATAATGAGCATAGAAGATGAGTGTGGAAAAATCGTCATGATGTTACTAAGGGTTATTCAGGGGAGAGGAAAAAATTGCTCACGAAGCAGGAGCAGGTGCTGGAGCAGCAGCCGTCTTGACATCTGGAGTCGGTTCGGCTTCCGTTTTCGCTGCTTCTGTGACTTCAGCCGGCTTAATCTCAGCAGACTGGGTTTCAGCGGGTTTCGATTCAGGGGCGGGGGTTGGTTCTGGCGCTGGGTCCGCTGTCTTTGAGACTTCAGCAGTAGCAGCAGTGGGAGTAGCAGCGGTAGCCTCGGGGACCGTTGCAGGAATGGCCGCAGGAGTAGGAGCAACATCTAAACCACAATTAACTATGATTAGCTTTCTGTAATGGTTGCAGAATAATAAATATATGCTGGTGAGCGTACCGTCAGCAGCTGGAGCTGGAGTTGGAGTAGCATCTGTAGCTGCTGGAACTGTTTCCTTCGGTGGCTCAGGGGTAGGGGTGGCGGCCGCAGGGGCATCAACTGCTGCAGACGTGGATTCGCTTGTAGGAGCAGGGTCAGCAGCTGCAGGCGGCTCAGTTATTGCGGGGGGAACCGTTGCGGCAGCGGCTGGGGCAGTTTCTGGGGAGGCATCTGGTGCTGCACCGGGAGTTGGGGCTGGGGGGAGCTGTTGCATCAGTGGCTGGAGTAGTCGCCGGTGCTGTTTCTGGTGCTGCGCCGGGGAGCAGGGAGCTGGGGGGGAGAAGTCGGCAATCTGCTGTAAGTTGTTTCTGGGGGCTGCTGGGTGGGGCGGCCGGAGTAGTCTTCCGATGGTGTAGCCTTCATTGGCTTTGCATCTGGTGCGGGTGCTGTGGTGGTGGCTTCCGGAGTGTCTGCTGAAGGAGCAGCTTGGGCAGTTGACATTCGATTCTTGCGACCCCTGAAGAACTTTTTGAACCCTCTCTTCAGCTGGTCCAGCGCATCTGGAGCTATTTGAGTGTCAGGCTGTAAAATTAAGTTCATACGCAAGGCAGAGCAGATATCTAGAACCCCCAAACAGAAACACAGGCTGTAAATGGTAGTACGACTTACGAACACCAGGCATTATGAAGAGGGTTCAGGAGAGAAGGTCGGGAAGAGTAAGGAAGGAGAGATCAGGAGGGGTGACAATATTAAGAATATGGATCTCGCAAGCCAAACGCAATATTCCACCACCGCTAAACTATAGACCTATTGAGTAGCAGAATGATCGGGAGGAGTAGTGATAGCCGGCAGACGAAGTGCGAAAAGGACAGAATGCGGTGAGGTTGAGGATGGCGTTCGCGCACGAGTCCTAAACCCACGTGATCCGACCGCTAACCAGGAACCGCTAACTATAATTACGATTCCATCACCATATTTCCCTTATTAGACGCCTGCCCATCCATGCATTGCAACCATGTTCCTCTGATCTGCCTGCTTGTTAGCTGACACTGCCATGCGAATGGGCCCACCAACTTGGTTATTGTCGTCTATGGCTCTGGGGTATTGACTGGACATGCGGACATGCCATGGCCTGCTTCAATAATAATAATCACACGACTCGCGCATATATTTATAAGTGTGCAACACCGGTGATTATCGTTACGTGAACAGCATGAAATGCTTCATGGTTTGAAAAGGCCGCAAAATCGGAACCCAAGCCCACGGCCTCATCGCTTGGGGAGCCAAATTCCCACGGTGAGCAATCGCCCCTGACACTAGCACACTTTCTTAGCGACAACCTACCAGGGTCTTGAAACAGCCTACTGAGCGCTTCCATGGCTCAGGAGAATGCAATGTTGATTTTCTACTCTGAGTACCCATCCGTGGTCACGCAGAATCAGCTTTGCCACACACAACTTGAGGGACTCTCAGCATGTTAGAACTCTCATTTGACAAGGGAGCTTTCTGGGAAGGCCTCCGCGTGCCCACTACTTTTCTAAGGCATAGGTTGTCTCCAATCATGGGGCATAAAGCGGATCCACTAGTGGAATTCCTATCATTGCTTGCAGCTCGCTGGGGTCTAAAATATATCCATCTCCCTATGAACTCAGTGGGAGTTGAATCTGCACGCATACTACCAGGAACTTCATTCTTGTCTAGTGTGCGTGTACGCTTAGTGGTGCAGTACATTTGCAAATCGAAGATATGTTTGTCCTAGTAGACCCTGGATCCTCCAGGCTGAGCTGATCCCGCAGCAAACTCCCATCATTTTCATCAAGAACGCGATTCATACTTAACGGATGGCTTAGTACCCATGCCATATCAGGAATGGAGCCATTGGTGGGTGGTCAAGGAAAACCTTTATGAACTTGCCATTAAATATAGAGGGAGGTAGTTACTCCTGCTAAATACATGATTGAAAAACGGCATTATCATTCAAGCGTCAACTAACCACGATGACAGACCCTCCACTTCAGGCTTTGCTTCACCCCCCTAGCTCTGTGCGGTCTCCGACATTCCTACTCACTTTCCTCACATCCCACAATCCCCTGGTGCAGCCTCTGTAACAGACATATCAACCCTTCCCAACTCTGCTGCTCGTCCTCCTGTCAACTCGTCCATGGCTTCCTTCGCTAAATTGAACCCACTCCCAGCATGATCAATTGCAATCACAGGGATCTCCACACCGGTCTCCTCAAACGTCAATTTGTAACATTTTCCGCAGCTGGGACTATTCCAACCCCCAACAGAGAACGCAGCGCCGACTCTGGGGAAGATGGGAAGATCACCCGCGACGCTAAAGCCTTTAGTTACGAGGCCATTGGATCCGTCCGAGCAAGCCGTCGTTAACAAATCCATGTTTGCATTATCATAGACTTCGTCGTATGCGACGGTCATCACTCGCTGAGAGAGTGTCAACTTAGAGAGAGAGAGGAGGAGGGCGGCGGTAGAGAGAAAGGACGATTTCATGGTTGCCGTTGACTGTATATTTGGTTTTGATTTCCGACGGAAATTTGACAGCTCAGTGATCGCGTGCGGTGGTTAAAAAGGTTATTTGCCGGGTGGTTTAATGTGATCACACAGGATTTTAATCAGGAGCGGCTGGGTGATATTTTTTAAATCTAGAAATTATCAAGCATCGGGAAGAAAACAAGTATAATGGAAGGCTACAGAATAGCGACCAGTATGATTTTCTTTGAAGAATGATCAATTCAAGAAATCCTCATGAGAGGCGGTTGTTGATGATATATATATATAGTAGTTTTATGGTCTGATTTATCTTTCAATATTCTATTTGAGACATTTTATCCTGCCCCTCACGGATGTTAAAAAGAATTACAATCCCCGCCAATCTAACTTGAAGCAGCTGCTGATGTAAAGCCGGAGTTGCAGTCCGTGACAGCCCGGCGTGTTTGTTGTTTCTCTTTACGTAGATGATCCATACCTGGACATCCACCCAGCAACAGAAGAAGCTGTTCTAGGACTATGTAGGTGGGCGGGGTTTGACTAGCTAAATACGAAGCGGAAGCAATCAACCAACCAACTTACCCCCCACCAGCCAGTCCAGGGGTTAGGAACATCACCAATCCCTCAATGAACTAGTAGAGTTATTTATATCTCTGTGTGAAAAGCTGGAAAAGTTGGTGGACTCATGTATAAAATTGATAAGATAGCCTGTGGTTTTGAACAAGTTTTCATTCCATCCTGGTCTAGTATATTTGTACTGTAGACCCTTCAAAACTTCAAGCACCAAACAAATCGCTGTGCAGTCAGGCTGCATACCTATCCATGTAATAAGTACTGCAACTTAACTATCTTAGTATCTACCAAGCTAAGTAGTATTTAGATAGCTATACCTGGCTACGTCTACTGCATAAGATATCAAAGCTTCTTACCTTCAGGATTGATTCATGCAAGATTGTAAAACATGCAGGACAAGTTCTACCTTTAGATACAGCAAACTGTTGGGGACGTCAGTTGTCACTAAAGAGACAAGTATGCTAGGACAACAAAGGCATCTTAGACAGGTGTAGTGGGGTTCTTATATGGGACATGCAGAAGGTTTTATGTGGAGGATATAATTTACAGTTTGGAGTGAGGCTGAAATAACGTTTGGGAAATTCCTGCTACCCCAAATAAAGCCATGATGATGTCATAGTTGGGGGATCGGGATCGGCTTCGGGAAGTCATGTGAACTTGACTTCCGAAGGGTTGAACCAATCTTCTTGCTCACTCTTGATTTATTTTTTATTAGCATTATTTTTTTACTAGAGGCCAAGCTGTTAGCACTGCAGATCCGAGATCTTCGGAATGCTGAGAAACTAAACCAATTAGTTTCTTTCCAGCCCCGCGCTTTGGAACAGCCTCGTCAGCTCCTTTGTTTCCCTGAACAGTTGCCAAACAAAACAACGATCAAGCGCCAAATCCCTGGCCCGGGAGAGCCATGTCTGCTGATGCTTCACTCGCTCATTCGGAGAGGACTCCTTTGCTGGGGAACGAGGCGGCAATCGAGAATGGTAGCGGCGATGCTGGCACTCAAGACTCAAACCGCCCTGATGACTCGGACGTCCCATTGGCAGATGAACTTACAACGAAACAGTTGCTCATGGTATTATCCAGCGTCTGGGTTGGGTCGTTCTTCGCTGCACTAGGTATGCTATCGAACACCCGCCTTTGTAACTTGGAGTCTCCTCTTCTCCAGAAGCCAAAATCCAGTAGCACCCCTTTTTGCTAACCACACCCGAGATCCGTAGATGGCACCATCGTCGGCACAATTGCCGCCCCTATATCTTCATCGTTCAATTCGCTCTCCCTTCTGTCGTGGCTCGCAACCGCCTATCTCGCAGCGAACGCAGCATGCCAGCCGCTTAGCGGAAAATTAACCGACATATTCTCCCGGCGCACGGGACTAATAGTCTCGAACATACTCTTTGGCGTCGGGAACCTCATCTGCGGCCTTGCAAAGGATGAATGGGTGATGATATTTGGGCGCACAGTGGCTGGAATGGGCGGCGGCGGTATCACGGCTATCTCCACCTTTATCAGCTCCGACCTTGTACCGCTGCGGAAACGGGGAGTGTGGCAGGGTATTGGGAATCTCTGCTATGGTCTAGGGAGTGCCTTGGGAGGTGTTTTTGGAGGCTGGATGAACGATAACTGGGGTTGGCGCTGGGCATTTCTTATCCAGGTACCCTGTATAGCGCTCGCCACAATCCTGGCTGTGTGGAACGTCAACATTCCCGTGAAAGTGTCGGATAAATCACGGCTAAAGCGAATTGATTTTCTCGGTGCAGGGACGCTCGTTACCGCCCTTGTTCTGCTACTTGTGGCATTGAACTGTGGAGGCAACCAAGTCCCCTGGAATCATCCATTGATTTGGACTACACTCCCGTTATCTGGGGTGTTTCTCGTTTTGTTTATCTACGTGGAAGAGAAGGTTGCTACTGAGCCGGTTATACCTGTTCGGCTCCTTCTAGACCCCACGGTTCTTTCAGCCTGTCTAACCAATTGGTTCTCCACCATGGCAGTCTTTGCTGTCCTGTTTTATGCACCCTTTTACTTCCAGGTCCAAGGATATTCTGCCACGATGGCCGGACTAAGGTTGGCTCCACAGGCTGTAGGCACAGCTATGGGATCCCTGGGTTCGGGGATTCTAATGCGTGTCACTGGCCGTTATCTCTACTTCAACTATGCTGCCACTGGCCTTATTGTTCTATCTTCCGCTTTGATGACCACCTACACCCTCACAACACCTCCATGGCAACCCTTTGTTCACATCTTCATCTTTGGTCTAGGTTATGGCAGCATGCTTACGGTGACGCTGGTTGCGCTGATCGCTGCCGTTGAACACAAGCACCAGGCGGTGGTCACATCGGCCTCGTATGCTTTCCGGAGTACGGGGAGCTCGATAGGTGTCACTACTGCCTCTGCCGTTTTTCAGAACTTGCTCAGATCTGGCCTGTGGTCAAGGTTCGGTGACCGGGAAGACGCAGCGAAGATAATTAAGAAGGTCCGCGACAGTCTTGATGCGATCGATAAAATACCAGCAGACTGGCGTCCCGGTGTGCTGGATGCATATATGGATGCCCTAAAGGGTGTGTTTGGGGCAATGCTGGGACTAGCAGTGCTGGGTGTTCTGGCTTGCGTTTTCATGAAGGAGCACAAACTACATATGAACCTTGCGAGGAAATAAGATGTTAGACGAGCACCTCGAGTGAGATACACTCTGATTTTCTTGTCATTTTCTTGTAATTTTGAGCATGCGCATTTTTCGGAATTTTACATGCTACACCTTAAAGAGGAGAGAATATAATTTATCATATAGTTTCGATTTTTTTTCAATACGCACACAATAATATGTTCAGAACCAAGGCGAATACACTCACAACCTTTTCTATATGGTGGATACTGTATGCTCTATTGCTGCAGCCCTTGAATCAACTATGCGATTCGGGAACTTTCCGTGCCGAACTCTAACTTTGCTTCGATTTCTGACGTCAATTTCATTATCCACGCTTTCTCATGGAAACGAGCGGATCCCAGTGCCTAGCTCACGTATCGAACCGAAGGTAATAATAATAAATAGAAATAAAATAGCAAGAAATATGCAGGACGCTAGTTCAAGATAAACTTCTTGTGGTATTACTATTAGCTAGGAAAGATGGCTGGTTAAAGTGGTGGCAATAGTGGGCGGTGGCCTCCCTTTAGCGCCAGCAGTCGGACCACAATCCATATATATCTATCTCTCTCAAGTCTCGACACAGCTCCTCGTCCTAACTCCCTTGCCATCCCCATCTCCGTATACCTACACCGACGAAGGCTTTGTCGCATTCGACC